GCAGAGGGGCGCCCGGCGGCGGGGAGGCGCCCCTGCCCGGCTCGCGCTGCCTCCGTCCCAGGCGCACCGAGGGCCGTGCGGGGAAAGCCGGCCTGCTGCAGGGCGGCTGCCGCGGCACCGCTCCCGAACTGCTCCCCCGCGCACAACTGCGCTGCGATCGGTTTGACGGAAAGTCGTCCGTTCACCTGAAAGGCGGTCTGCGCACAGCAAGTGCGCACCGCTCTGGCGGGAGGGTGACGGCCGTGGGGCGCCCGTGAGGCGAGCGCCAAACCCCCCAAGCCGGGTGGTCCGCCTGCTTGCAGAACGTGCTGCAAACAGACTGCGCTGGGCAGGTTGGCTTCACCAGGGCAGCCCTCCGCCACGGCTATCCAGGGAGCCAGCTCCGCAGCAGGCCCTGCCCTTTCCTCTCCCCCACAGCCACAACCCCTTCCTGGGCACCATGGCTTCTACCCTCCTTTTTATGAGGATCGCTTTTTAAAAAACACAAGGGTCAATTCAATTAATCATATATGCTACCAGAGTACACGTTTAATGGAAAGTTATAAGGAAGAAATGTAACTCAGCACTCGTTGATTTTAAATATATTTATTGCATCACAGATAAGACAGAGCACAGTGCCATTATTCGGCCAGCACAAATACAATCCAGCAAAAGCTCAAATCAGTAAGAGTTACTCCCAACTTTTCAGAGGAGGGTTTACAAGACTCTCTAGTCTTGCCTCCATTCTTTTGGAGTGATTCGACCAACAGGAGACAAATTCCAGTCAATCCCGATTTGTGTTGCAACCTGCAAAACACATGGCAGGACAACGGCAGTCAAACACATTAGCACCAGAATTACCAACAGGCACAGCCACCAAATTCTTTGACAGAGCCAACAGATTTCAAAAGACAAACCAAATACCAGGCTTCATTTGCGGCATTATTTTTTTTAGAAAAGAATGCAAGCAGTGTTCTTGCAGAAGTATATTTTATAAGCATATTTTTATACTGTTAAGCAGGAATAGGCCGTTTTCCTTAGAGGTCAGGGAGTATGTCTCTGGAGTCAGAAATTATGCTTCATGGCTTCAACTCTACCCAGCCAGCTTCACATATAAGAGGAAAATTTACTGCATGTGTGCAATCTTTAATTCAGATATGACAACTGACTGGCCATTGCGTGGCATGCACGTCAAATAAATAACAATTTCAAGTATGTCAAAGCTAGAACTCATTGTTAGTTCCGAAGTCTTATTATTTCTTCATTTCATTGATCTAAATCCTTAAACCTGGGCCATCAGTCTGTACTGTTTATTATTTAGAAGTGTAATTGGCAGCCACATGTGGCACCCCACCTTGGCCACCACACTTGTCTTTGGAAGTTTCTGCTACCATGGCTCATCGGGCACCCTCTTTATCAGCCTTTCGTGAGTTTATCCTTTATGATACTTAGAATACTCCCACGATTTGTTATTTCTGCATTTTTACTTTGCCCAATTACAGAAGTTCTTGGGGTGGCTTACAAAAGCTAAAAGAATATACAAAAGGAAACAAACAGCTCAGAAATAAACATAGAGTACATAAAGACAGCCATAGTCTACAAATTATGGTATAGTTTTGATAGGTTGCAGATTCTATTTAGTGAGGCTAAATAGAATTCTTGCACTGCTCAGAATTGTTAATATCCTATTATATTATCAGTAGTTTTAATGTATTGAGTACTACTTGAAGAATTTGACAGAAAAGTGTCCTACATATTTTAATAAAAATAACATATACAATATTTCTGAATATTGATCTTTAGAAGTAATTCTGCCCTGCAAAATGCTTTAAGATCTAAGTGTCTTTAAGGCCAAGAGTGCAATACTTCAGTCTTGGATGTGTTGTAAGCAATGCTGGCAGCTTTCCATTTTTAAAGACAGAACAGGGAATTGTTAATTCCAACTTACAAGTATAACACTGAAATACTTACATAGGTCCAGACGGCAACACAAAATGTAGCTCCACTAAGTAGAATCATATTGCCATACTTGTCATGAAAATCAGGTTCATGTTTATGGCCAGCTTGTCTCTTCACGGTATGTTGAATGCTACGGGCTAAAACACAACTTTAGGTTAAAAATTTGTTGTCAGCATGCACATAAACTTAGTAAGAATTGTAACAATTTCATTACAATGAAGACAACATCTGAGGGAAAACACAGGAGTTTTCAAACCCTGAGAATGTAGTTTTGGAAATGCTGCTGAGGCGGCAAACAAAGCACAGAACACCAGGACTGCAAAAGTGACACACAGATCCACTCATCTGCGGACTCTCCATCTAAACAGCACTGCAATCCCAAATGCAGTCTGCCATCCCTGTCACACTTTCTCCAACTGGAACACTAAAAATCTCAGTACACAGTAGTGGAGGAGCAGGCCAAATGATCTCAAAATGCAGAGGACCTTGGGGCGGCGGGGGGGGGGGGGGTTAAGTTACACACAGCCTCCCATTCTCATGGTGATTCGGGCACAAACATTTGACTTAGTTATATGGAAGTTTATCCTCTGCTGGCTATGCCATGTGTGGAAAGGTACCACTTGCTATTTCTCTTCCGTGATGATTCGTCATATTTACTGAAGCAGTAAAATGTAGCCTAGATCAGGCAAACAGATTTCCTACAAAGACTGCCAACACTTAAATGCTTGCTGTCAAATGCCCATACACCAAAATATATTTGCTTTGCATGTGCCAGTCTCAGGCACAGTCAATGATATAAGAACAAAACTGAGACTGAGCAACTATTCCCACGGAAGAGCCACAGTTCAGGGGCAAAACATCTGCTCTGTTCAGCGGGAAGGAAATCCCAGGTTCAGTCTGTGCCATCTCCAGGTCAGGCTGGGAACTACTTCTGCCCAAACTCCAGGAAGGGCACTGCCGGTCAGTTTAGACCACGGGTGAGTAAGCTGGTGCTCTCCAGACACTTTAGACTGGCTTCTCATCAGTCCCAGCCACCTTGGCCAACGGTCACAGATTCTGCAAGCTGTAGCCAAAATTTACAGAGGGCCCCAGGTTGCCTACTCCTGGCGCAGACCATACTAAGCTGCAAGGACCAGTGGTCTGCTCAGCATATGGCAGCTGAGTATGGCTTTGCTCTACTGGAGAGTGACACAGGATCTGGAAGTCCTTCACATCCACGCTCTGCAGTCTAACCAGCACATCACCAAGACGACCACAGCATAACATAACTGCTGGCCATTCACTTGGAAGAGTGGCCCAGACTTTCAGTGGGTCGTCTTTCGCATGTGGCATCCAAGTGATCCTCAGTTTCTCATCCCGCAAATGGCACAGCATATTCCTGTCTCTTTATAGCAGCAAGGGCAAGAAGTGGCCATCAGGTGCCACCATTCCTGCTGCCGCTCCCCCCAAAGGAGAAGGTCACCCTCCCCTCAACTAAATTTCCTGTCCAGGGGAAGCTTAAAAACCAAGTGATGCCATCTGACCTGTTCTGCTGACATGCCCACCTGCACAAAACACACCACATGCATTTAATGTCGGGGCACTTTCCTCCACATGCACATCTTGAAAGAGCGTAGTGAGGGTAGCAAGGCATGTTAATTGTGCTGCCTCACTTATATGAAACCAAACCTCTTGCACTGATTATAAGGTACTTTCCCCTTGAGAACACAAAGAGAAGCAAACAAGAAATGAATGTATTTTCCATATATAACTGACAGGGCAAGGTTTCTGCTGGGATGGGCCAGGCTACGCTGGAAAGGCCTGAGCTACATGAGAGCCAGGCCACGGCCCAGGCCATCGCAGGGCACTCGGGCAGCCCCGGCGGGCGGACTGGCCATGCCCAAGAGGGCACCACCGAGTCGGCCACGAAACCAGAGACAGCGAAGCCGCGGCCGCCCATCTGGCCCCCGAAACGCAGCGCAGGAGGGGCCGCGCGGGGAGACTCGGCCGCGGCCCTTCCCACGACAGCGCCCCCCGGCGCCGGGCCACGGCCCACGCAGGCTGGGGCCTATGGGAGCGGGAGTCCGTCTTCCGAAGGGCCGCGGTCCGCGCAGCCGCTCGTCCAGCGAGACCCTCGCCCGGCTCCCGGCCGAGGCGCACGCGGTGCGGGCACTCCCCATGGCGGACCCCCCCTCGGGGCCCCGAAGGCTCCGCCAGCGCCGGCGGACTCACCCGCGAGGCCCAGAGCCCGCCTCGCTAAGGGGAACATCGTCCACACGTTCCACCACTCTCCCGGGTACCCTTGACCGGCGGCGGAAAACAAAATGGCCGCCGGCAGCAGGAGGCGGGCCCGGCGCGTGCGCCGCCGGGAAAGGCGTGCTGGGAAACGTAGTTCGCCCGACGGGCGGAGGGGGCGCTGCCGCGCGGGCGAGGCGAGGCGGGCGAGGCCAGCCTGGCCAAGTCAAGCCAAGCCAAGCCGAGGGGCGCCGGCCTTTCCGCGGACGGGCAGAGCGGCGGGTGGCCGGGGCCCGCGGCGGCCGCGCGGCGGGCGGGCGGGCGGGGAGGCGCGGGGGGGAAAAGGCGCGCTGCGCCGCTGTTCGCCGGCGTGTCAGGATGGCCGAGTGGTCTAAGGCGCCAGACTCAAGGCGCGCGCGCCTTCCCGCCGCCGGGGCTTCTGGTCTCCGCGTGGAGGCGTGGGTTCGAATCCCACTTCTGACACATCCTTTTGCGCGGGCCGCGCGCCGGCGGGGAAGCGGATCCCGGCATCGCTCGGCGGCGCCCCGGAGCCCCCGCGGAGGGCGCTGCGCTGCCCGCGTCCCCCTGCGCGTCTGCGTACCTGCGGCTCCCCGCGGCAGCGTAGATTCTCGGCGACCGTTTTCAGGCTGAAAGGCTACTATGGCAGCAAAGGCGGGATAAGCGACCGCTTGCAGGAACGCCATGGCGAGAGGGCTTGATGAAGCCCCCGATTTGTGCAGGGGGGTAGGCACAATCGACAAATGATGAATGAAGTGGGGTGCCTCTTTTGAAGGATATGCATTATTACCAATACTAACGGCAGCATGTCTTGTTACATATTTCATATTTGAGGTGTACTATATATGCATTCACCGCGAGACCTATCACTTAAGTGTCATATAAGAATACTGCAACATTTTATTTTTCCCTCTTTGGTTGCTCAGGTTTTAGGTGTGAATTCAAAATGCAGAATAAAATAAGGAGTCTTCATTTTGCGTACCACACATCAAAATTTTGCTGTGATATTTAGCATATTCATCAGCCATTAATTCTAGTTCTTCCCTGTTTACCTCTGTTGATTTCCTCTTGGTTTCCCACGTTCTGTTTTCCTCTTTAAAATGTTTGCTTTTTTTACCTGGCAGTCCAGGCTCTTCTGATTTATGAAAAAAATAATATAAAAAATAAACTTGGAAGGATCATCACCATGGAAAAATCATCTTAGTTGTGGATTTATTTTTAAACAAGGGAGCAAACACCAAGCCTTGATTCACAAACTCCCACCTTTTTAGGGTGCAATCCAAAAATACATTCAGACAGATAGGAAGCCTGTCTGGGGAATGCTGGGAATTTTAGGTCTTTTGCTTTGTAAACGTGCATTTAGATTGCACCCTTAATCTTCTGTTGTGGGGACAGATTTTTCAACCGACCCCCAACCTTAGTGAACAATGCCTCCCCAGTTATTAGGATGGCTTCCACTTGCCAGTCTTCCAAGTCTTCACTATGATGGGATAGACCTGAGCATCTTTTCTTGGATTTTTTCATCTGTGCTGATGTCAAATTGCCAGGCAGGGGAATCAGTCTGAAACGTGCAACAGGCAAAAGAGACAGGAGATGAAAAGGGATGGTAAAGCAGTAATTTTAGCAGGCGAGCTTAAATATCAAAACTAACAGGGGAGTGTTTTCGGATGGATCTTAATCGTTTTAAGTCACCCTCAAAAGATCTAACTCTACTAAAGCGTGAAGAGTCTGGCAGCACCTTAAAAACCAAAATGTTCATTACGGGAGGAACTTCCGGCCACTTCACTGGGACTCCAGTCTCCAGACATAGGCACTAATAAGCCCCACAGAAATTAAACGGACTTCCCGCGAGGGCCCCAATGCTGCGCATGGGACAAGGCCGCCCCCTCGCGGCTGCGGGCGAAGCGGCATCGCCCCGCGGCGCGTCCAAAGCAAAGCGCGCCCGCTCAGCCCCAGCGCCAATCCCCGCGCCACAGCTCGCGCTGTTCGGATTGGCCAGCGGGACCCAGCTCGCCCCGCCCACACCCCGCCCCCTCCCCGCCCCTCGGCGGGTCCGAAAAGTAGAAGTGCGGCTCCGCGCGGGGATCCGGCGAAACAGGAAGTGAAAGGGACCACTAGCGGGGCAGCGGAAGGAGCGCGCGCCCAATCCAGAGCGAGCCACGCCACCGCCCAGCCAATGAGCGCCGGCGGCCGGTGCGGCCCGGCGGGCGGGCGGGTGGGTGCGCGCGCGCAGTCATGGCGGCGGCGCTGAGGCTGCTGGCGCTGGGCTCGCTGGCCGCGCTGCTCGGCTGGGGCGGCCCCGGCGTCGGCGGGCAGAAGAGGAAAGAGGTGAGCCGCGGCCTCTCGGCGCCCCGGTCCCCGCGCGGGAAGGGCCCCTGGGCGCGTCCACCGACCACGCGGCTCTCCCGCCGCCCGCCCTGCCGCGGCGGGCGGAGGTGGGCCGCCCGGCGCGGCGCTCGCGCGGGGGTCCCAGCGCCGCCGCATCGGCCCCCGCTGCGCGCCTGGGGAGCCCGGCGCGCCGTGCTTCCCCCGCCTGCTCTTCCCAGGGCAGCCTACCTTGCAGGGGCGTTGTGAAAATAAAAGGGCAGTCGGCTGCGTGCCCTGAGTGAAGGCACCGGTGAGCGTGCCGGAGGAAGTGGCACCATGGGCTGGGGGGCCTTTGGAGCCTGGTGTACACAAATCCAGCAGGAGAGTTTTCTCCTTGCAGGAAAAGTATTCTTTGCCAAAGTCGTGCACAGTTAAAGACCCGGGAGCAGGCAGGGTGGCCAGCGGGCTCCTTGCGCTGCCCAGCCCCTGTGCCCTCCGCAGCGCACGACCTCTGACTCAGAGCGAAAGTGGCAGGCGGTGGTGTTGCGTCTGGGCTGGGGAGCAGCACCTGGCTGGCTGGCTTCCCGTCGGTGCTGAGCGCCATGACGTGGCAAGTGCAGCAGAGACAGTGATGCAGTACCTGTGATGCTATCTTGGTGCTTCTGCAGGCAGGAAATAAGTTGTTTTGTCACAGCCTGGGGCGTGGTGTCAAGCCTTCCAGCTGAAATCTGCAAGCTGCCTCCACAGTAGCCAGGCACGTTGTCCCAGTGTTGCAGAGAAGCTGGGAATCAGGGCAGATGCATATTCATGCACAGTTAGGCTTCTTTCAAGCATGGAACAATATCGATTTATTACATTGAGTAGTTATCCAATAAATATCTCAAAATGATCGAATAATAATGACAGTGTCAAAACAATGACAATACTGGAATATTTCAGATATTTCAAACGATTGATTTTTTGAAAGAAAAACATGAGAGAGTAGGAAAATCTTAGTCTGACACTGCAAAGAGAATGGGGTTGGTGCCTGGCATGCTTTCCTTGGGTTAAGTAGAGAGGGACCATTAAAAAAAACGAACTCTTGTTGCCACTCTCTAAGCCTCAGAATAAGGGGGTTGCTTGCAGGGAGAATTGAGAAGGATAGGCAAACAGCCATCCTTGGCCAAATTTTGTGTTGGTTTTGCAGGGAGAAGGAGGGATCTGTTGACAAAAGGAGAGAGAAAATGAAATGCCAATGCTAGCTCCACCTTGGTTTGGCTTTGGTTCCCACCATCATTATTATTATTATTATATTATAACATGGCCTGATTTAAACATAATCAGTGATTGCTCAGAGTTAAATTGTGATCATTCATTATTTAATGCTCAGTAAAGCTGCTTTCTGCTCTTGTCTTTTAGATGGTGCTTTCAGAAAAAGTGAGCCAGTTGATGGAATGGGCTAGCAAAAGATCAGTCATTCGACTGAATGGTGACAAATTCCGTCGTCTTGTAAAGGCACCTCCAAGAAATTACTCCGTGGTGGTTATGTTTACTGCTCTTCAGCCTCACAGACAATGTGTTGTGTGCAAGTATGGGATTTAATTTGTACAGAAATTCAGAGTTGGGGGTGGGAGATTGCATGCTTGTTAATGCTGGCATATTTCTGCTTTAACCAAACCCCCCCCCCCAATCCTTAAATCTGATTTGGTTTATTGAGGGGGAAAGAACCATGCTATATATAAAAGATCAACAGTAAATTAAGTGGCAACGCATAGCATGCTTTTTGGTTAATATAGCTCTTAATATGGTCAAATGTAAAGGCTGGGCTTCTGTATATTATGTCTTTCACTTAGGGCTTGTGGCCTCTAAACTTTATTCGGGTGCTTTACAGAGAGCCTGTTTAATCCATGTTTAATTGTTTTAGTGTTTGTCATCCCATGCTTACAGTTCAGCCTGGCCACACTTTAAATGCCATTTGCTCTCAAATATGCAGGCATCTTAGATGCAGCAGTGACATGAGGGAGCTAACCCAAGAAAGTGAAAAGCAACCTGTGTTGTTTCTCCATCAGTGAGGCCTGCAGGACATTGTTTTGTTGATCATGTTAGATGCAGAGCTTTCTCTAGAGAAAGCCAGATTGTAACTTTGTGAGGACTGCAGGCATGTGTGTGTCATCTGTGTCTGACAAAAACCGTATTTTTCTACTGTGTCAGTTAAGATGTGCTGCTGCTGCTGCAGCAAAGATTGCTGTGGTGTGAACACAAGTGCTCCTGTCCTTTATAGTCTTGGCATCAATGCAGAAATGTGGGCTTACTTTTTCCACAGCAATGCTAGGCTGAAGGCTTTTAAATCGGCTCAAATTTTGAATAGTGTCTTCTTCATTTATGCAGGCAAGCTGACGAGGAATACCAGATCCTGGCAAACTCCTGGCGATACTCGAATGCATTCACCAACAGGATCTTTTTTGCCATGGTGGATTTTGATGAAGGGTCTGATGTATTTCAAATGGTAAGTTTTCCCTGGGAAGTTACACATACTGGAATAAGGATTAGCAAAAGCAGTGCACTGTGCATTAAAAATAATGATTAATGCCGCAAATGCACAAAGCAATCCTAAGTATGTGATGCCAGAAGTAAGTACCAACATATATTGCTTCCCAAAAGTATATTTAGGATTCGCTTGTGACTGATAAGGACTGGTTGCAAAAGGACTGATAGCTGCAAATTGCTTGTTTAGACTATACAGAGCAAGTACTATCTAAATAACACAGAAAGAGAGAGAAGCCCAATAGCAGAAGTACTGCTTATGGGAGACAATGTGATTTGCAACGTAGACCTCAGTATTTTGTTAGAAGGGTCTAAGTTGAATGCTACCGAACGGTTCCAAATCATTTCGGAATCTGAGACCCATTGTAAAGCATCGATTTATACACTGGTGGCTCAGATAAGAGCTGAATGTCACAAAGTTTTGTGTGTGTTTCATAAAAACCACAGCTCAACATGAATTCTGCTCCAACTTTCATCAATTTCCCACCGAAAGGGAAACCCAAAAGAGGGGACACTTATGAACTACAAGTACGAGGTTTTGCCGCTGAACAGCTTGCCCGCTGGGTAGCTGACAGGACCGACGTCAATGTAAGTAAGAGTTTGACTGCTCTGCAGTGTTGCGCTTCTCGTTCTTCTCATGTTGCGCTTCCTCAGAAAGGAAGTCCCTTCACAACGTTTCTCCAGAACTGAGAGCACGGCCACCTCACTTAGCCTGAATCAGTCCCACCTCCGTTGCTGTTACTGTTGTTCTCTGCCATCAAGTTGTCTGCGACTTAGGGCTGGTCTTGAATGAGTGCTCTCCAGAACAGCCTGTCCTTAACAGCCCTGCTCAGCTCTCGTAAACTCAAGGCCGTGGCTTCCTGTGTGGAATCAATCCCTCTCATAGTTCTAGCATTATTGTCTTCTCCAGTGAGTTTTGCCTTCCGATGATTTGCCTGAAATGTGACACCCCCCGTTTCCTTAAGGCCTGGCTTGATTTGATGTAGAATGCAGTTGTTCATCTTTTCGTCCATCCGGAGTATTTGCAAAGCTCTCTCCCAACACCACATTTCAAATGCATCTATAGAAAATGTATTTTGCTGTTGTTTCTAGCATAATGCTTCTTGTGTATACCATAACAGTGCATTTAGTCTTAATGTTTGACCCCACTTAAAACATTTTTTTGCAGTGGATGTGGGAAAAAGAGCAAGTAGGTTGGGTTGTTAAATTTAAACAGGCAGTTTAGAATGTGTTCAGTTTCTGACGTGCCCAGTTGTCAGAGGGATGAGACAACACTATAATCACAACATCTTTAAAGTTTCTTGGTACATGAGCCGATAGAGCACCTTTCCAGTTATTTCCAGCAGTTTGTGGAACGATGCAAAGATTAACTTTTCATGTTGGGCCTTGCACTCATCTTGCAACTTGATCTTAACAGTCAGGCATGTTTAGCAGGGCTTAGCTGTCAGTTGTGCCAGCTGCTTTGTTAGAGGTCTGTAGATAAAATCCTGCTCCGTGTGCCTTCAAAGTAGAATTTGCTGCTGTGTGGAGCAGAACTGTTTTAGCAGTGATGCCTCAGTTTTAAAATGCTCAATCCACTGCTGGGGTCCAAGCTGGTACAATTTTTTTTCATGCACATGTACAATGTAGCACATTCTTTTTACATGGCATTTTTGCAAACTGTTCAAAGGTATCACAGTTCATCAGCCTTTTTTCTTACCAGACAGTTCAGATTCCCTTTCAGACTGAAGCAGCTTTGTTCATTCCCCAGAAATGTAACCGGCTGCACATAAAGCTTGAGGCCATTAGATACTTTTTGTGCTGAGAGCAGATGAATAAACGGTAGCTGTTACAATAGCGGCCATTGTGTTCCAAACTGGAATTTATTTTATTCTCTCCTGCTTTCAGAATGGATGCTGCTATACCCCTTACTTAAAAGCATGCATGGCATTCCTGATCAGCTCCCAAAGTAGGCCATTCCAGGCGTTGCGGGGGTCCCACGGCTGTGACTCATCAGCTCTGCGGAACCACTGTGCTTCCTTTGCACAAAAGAGGGGCAGCAGCAGTGTGGGGCATCCCCGCCTCCAAAGGTGCCTTCCCCCAGGGGCACCCAAAGCTCCAGTCGGCACTAGTTGTATTTGAGAGCCGCATGCTTTACAAACCTGTTTGTGAACAGGATTTGGAGGCACAAGCCATTTCGGGAAAACTCATTTAACTTGCTAATGGTCTGTCCTAGATCCGAGTGATTAGGCCTCCGAGCTACGCTGGGCCATTGATGTTGGGGCTGCTGCTGGCTGTCATTGGTGGCCTTGTGTACTTAAGAAGAAGCAACCTGGACTTTCTTTACAACAAAACCGGCTGGGCTTTTGCCGCTCTGGTGAGCAAGTCCCATTTTCAGACGCTCAACTCGGCCTCCTCCTCCTCGCCCTTGTCCCTTCACAGGTTCCCTTCCCCTGCTTCCCAGTCATTCAAGCTGTTACCTGCACGCACCCATGTTCCTCCCTGATCCGGTTGCCCTGGTAATCCTTCTCTTTGACAATATGATGATGCCCACCAGGAGCTTTTTTCCTGCAGAAAACGTGCCTTTGCGAAATGCTTTTTTATTCCGTTTCACGCAGAAATTGGGCTTTCCTTGGTTTGCCATTGGAAGCCACAGGACGAGGTGCTCCTGTTTGTGCCAAGGGGCTGTGTCACACTCATTTCCTGCACATGGGTCTGAATTAAATTGAGGTACCTCAGAAAGAGGAAGCTCCAGAAAAGTGAAGGAACTGTTTTATGACTGGCCTTGTTTGGGGTCAGTGAAGATTGAGGGAGGGGGTCCCGGCTAGGGTCCGGTGACACACCCACGCGCATGTGACTACTGACTCACGCTCTGTTGGTTTCCAGTGCTTTGTACTAGCAATGACATCGGGACAAATGTGGAATCACATCAGGGGGCCTCCGTATGCTCACAAGAATCCTCATACTGGCCAAGTGGTGAGTGTGCTTTGTTTGTTTTAAAAGGAAACAATCAAGATTTCACTGTTAGATTTTACTTCTGGCTTTCCTAGGAGCTAAGGAAAAAACCTGATAGGAAGCCCTTTCAAACGTGTGCCAGCTATTGAGGTTTTTAAATCAAATACTAAAACATATAGTCACATATCTGCACTCCCATTCTGAGTAAGCGTGAAGAGTGGGGCCTCTCAGAAGAGGATAACTGTTCATTAATTTGGCAATATTAATATGTAAACTTAAAAAAGGCTGCTTCCTGATTAATTTAGGATATCTCTTTTAACTGATCACAAAATGAGTGGTCAATCTAACTGAAATAAACGCTTATTGACGTTTATACACTTACTTCCAAAATCTGTTTTTGTTTTCAATAGGAGGTGTCTAGCTGGGACTAACCCTTCAGTTTCCTGTCGTGTCCCCTGTTTTTCTCCCCCACTAAATGTGAAACTAAGATTCTGTAGGCTGTGGTAGAAATGAAAAGTGTGGGGTTGTTTTAAGCGACTCTCCTAGTTTCAAGTTCCCATAGACTGGTAGTCCCTAAACGATGCTAAATCTGATATTTTCACTTTTAAAAATACATCTGTGCTTGCACCTCATTTCCTTTCACTCCTCATTTCCTTTCACCGCACAATGTTCAGTGCAGTACAGAGAGGTACTTCCAGGAACTGTGGTTCTCACTACTGCTTTCTGTGGTAGTGGTGTGTATTTATCACTGCTTAGTAATCCTTGCGGTAAAACGCAACAACAAATATACAACAAATAGGATAATACTTTTTTTTTCTTTGATCTGTCTTGAATTTGCCAAACCAGCTAACCATCGGCAGCCAGGCTGTGGTGTCCCTGGGAAGTGGTGGGGATTGGATTTCAGTGTATTGTCCGCTGCACGGGATTCTTGGTAGCAAGGGTGGGCAGGGAACATTGTGAGCTTGGGTAGATGGTACTCCAGAAGCAAGGACTCGTTTAGGTTATACCCTGCCTTTCTCACCCTCCCCATGGTTCTTGAAGGAAGCGTGGGAAGCAACGGGGGGGGGGGCAGATCCTCCATGCTGTCACGGTGCACCCGGTAAGCCATCCGTAGCTAGGAGATGGGCCTGTGCATTGAGCATCAGCTGGCTGGAAAGGGCTTTTAAACATCAGCTGGCTTTTGAAAACCGCCTGAGAGCAAGTCTGCGGTCCCCGACCATCTCCAGAAGATGCTGAGCGCCAGCTGCTCCTCGCCCCAGTCGCCATAGCCAGTGCTCAGGAATGTTTATTTGCTGTTAGGGCTCAGGGAAGATAACAGTATTAAAGCACAGGTTAAAAATGACATCTCCACGGAAACAGACTTAAAGCACAACAGCAACAACAAGAAATAGATAGCGCCCTGCCTGTTAGAAAACGCTTCAGCAGCAGGTGAGCCCCTGCAGCCAAGGTTTGCCTGAATAAAAGTGTTTTTGCCTGCAGAGGATACAAAAGAAAAGGCCGGCTTGGCTTCTCTTGGCAGGGCGGACCAGAGCACAGGCCGGGCGCTGGAAGAACGCCTGATTGGAGTGGTGCAGGGCACGGCGCTTTCTTGCCCTCGCCCCCACGTTGAACTTTTGGATGCGTGAGCGGGTGCAGATTTCCTTTCGGGCGGCTTATCCTGCCGAGTGAATCAGAAATGCTGCGACTGACCCAGTGTTTGTCTTGCAGAGCTACATCCACGGAAGCAGTCAGGCCCAGTTCGTGGCGGAAACACACATCGTGCTGCTGTTTAGTATCCTTCTCTGAGACAGTGGTTCACCCCAAGGCACGCCTTGGCCATGTGTGCGTCCAAACCCTTACCAGCCCGTGCAAGTTGCTTCGCCTTAAATCACTCTCTCAGATGCGGGCGTGACCCTTGGCATCGTCCTCCTACATGAAGCAGCCACTGCCGACCTGGATGTGGGGAAGAGGAAGAGTAAGTCTCTGTGCTGATACCAGCGCTTCTGTGTTTGACTGCACCTGGAACATTTTCTGCTGTGGTCCAAAGCGTAGGATGGGGTGTGAAAACATTTTGATACGCAGGGAGGCATTTCCCCCGAGAACAGTGTTGCCATTGAAGACTAAATGTGCAGTCTGCTGGGCTGTTTGTTTATTCCCCTCAGTGAAGAATGCCCCACTACAGCCTCGGGTGCTTGCGACTGCTCTTCTCGTCAGCGTCAGTCGAACGAGCCTGAGACCGTCGGCAGGCATTCCCCCCGTCCGTGTTTGCTTTCAGGCTGGATTAGCAGGCTGACCTTGTTCTGTGCTTGTTTGTCCACAGTCATGTGTGTGGCAGGAATCGGTCTAGTGGTTCTGTTCTTCAGCTGGCTGCTCTCAATATTTAGATCGAAATACCATGGCTATCCATACAGGTACGTGCTGCTTCTTAGGTTGCACTGCTCTGGAAAATAGGCCTTTGTACCGCTCTGCAGTTTGGGCTTGCTTGGCCTCTGTACCAAAATAATCTTCCCTGGTGTTTGGGTTGCTCCAAATGCTTAACAAAGAAAAACACCAGCCCTGAATTGCCTTGCTTTGTCTTACCTAGAGGCCAGGAATAAATAGCCAGTTGCTCGGGAAGAGCAGCGGCAGCGCTTTCCCGCCTGAGAACTGCTGGAGTTCTAGAGAACTGCTCGAACTGGGGGATAAATGTCTTGCGGTCTGGAAATCTGAGAGGAGGGGGCTCAACCGTGGGTTTAAAATCCAGCACCGCTGCACCTGCCTTGCTCTGCCCCAGGGAAGCAGAGTGTTTTCCCTGCTCGAGAGCTTTGAAGACTCAGACTGAAGGCCTTGGTTCCCTGGGGAGGTCCCAGCACAGAGTAATCAGAGCAGGCACCTCAAGTCTGGAGAGTTCCTCTTTCTGAGGGTCCTCCTTTCCAGCTGGCCCTTGAACCCCAAATTAAAAAGCGGAAAGGTGGCGCTTGTCTAGGAAAGAAGGCTGTGTTGGTACACCGTATTTCGTCATTAATTTCTTCCCCTACCACACACACAGTATAAAAAGAAGCTCCTTTGTCAAGCCTGCCCACTTTAGAGCGGCCCATCTCTTGCCCGCCGTAGACTTTTCAGACAGATTTGTGTGATTCTGAAGAAGAGGCAGAGAACCAACAGGGGAGGCGAGGACTTTGACGTTTCAAGGCTACCTAGCGAAGTTTCTCAAGCGGAGTGTGAAGGGGCGGAAGGGGGAGCAGATGCGAGACCCAGTCTTAGGCCTCCTTGAGTCATGGCCTCCTCCTGGAACTATTAATAACTTCCAACTAATCAGTCTTGCAACTAATGTAAAATGGCTTTCTCGCACTACATTCCATGTACATCCTTGATCTCTCTCCAATGAAGGGGTTGTCCCCAGTAAGCAATGCCGTACACTTCATTTATACGTTGATCCCGGAAAGGCAGCTGAAATTTGCAAAAGTTGCAACATGGCTAAGAGGGGTGACCCAGTCGGTTGCTGGGCAGCACGCTGCCATGCTCTTGCCGCGCTTGGCGTTTCCTGGGGGCGGCTGGTCAGCAGTGGGGCCAGGAGAATGCTGGATGCGTTGGGTCTTTGGCCTGATGCGGCTCCGCTTTTCTGACTTTCTGAAGCAGCAGCCTCCCAGGAAGCGTTTCCTGCAGGGAATGCCCACTCGGGGTCCTTAGGATCAAGGGAAGATAAGGGGCTGTTTGGGTTCGGCGACAGCGTGAAAAACCTTGGTTTTTGTTTTGTATTTTTAGCTTCCTGATGAGTTAAAGAAGATCCCAGCTCTGCTGTTCACAGGGAGTGGCACATAGGCATTCAGTACGTGGATCATGCTACCTCTATTTGAAAGGAATGGAATTGTTGCACACCAAGCCAAAGATGTCGAGTGCCTTGACCAGGCAAACTATTTGCCCTAAAATTCCCAGGAGGCATTGCAACGTATTTACACCCTCTGTTTACTTTAAGCCTCGGGGAATTTGGAATGTTGGTTTCGTGTTTCTAATCAGTTTTTTTTTTTTTTTAATCTACACATGAATTTTCCGGCCACCCTCCAACAAGCCTCCACAGGCCCCCGCTAGAACTTCTGGGTTGTGCACAAAGCGCCGGTACCTCTGCAGCACCAGGCATCACAGGGCCTTTTAAATGCTCCCCTGCAGTTCCAGAGCAGCTCATTTGAGGGTGCAGAGGGCTGCCTGGAGAAGAGGAAAGAACATGTTGCAAACCCGACACGGTGCTTACGGGGTGTCCTCGCATCCCTTTGGTCCACGGCTTCAGTTGTTAAAACAGCCCGATGTGGCCATGTTTCCAGCATCTGCGGGGGTGTATTCTTCAGGCAGGTTTTCTTTGCTCCGCTGCAAGGGGCTCTTTTTTCAGACCCGGGCAGCCTGCCCCTCCCCAGGAGGGAAGGTGGTCAAATTCTAAACGTCCCAATTGAGTTGCGAGGCTTTCACCCAGATTTTTGGCGGATGCTAATATACAAAGCCAGCAGGAGGCTTTGGGAAGGAGAAGCGTTGGGCCTGAGCTGCCTCTGCTTAAGCCAGGAGTGCGCGGCCCTTTCTGTCCCACATCAGGTGTCTGCTGTGATGGAAGAGGGAGCTCACGCACATGGGTGTCTCCTTGCATACCGCTCTCCCGCATAGGGACCTCTCCCTCTTGTTCACTCTCACACAACCTTCTGTCCCAAACCACAGCTAAGATCTTGCTCTTGCAACAGTGTTGGGGTACCTCAACCCCCCCCCCCCCAATCCCAGCCACTCCAGTACAATCGCAACAGTCAAAATGCTCTAGGGGAATGTTGAGCAGGAAGCTCAGAGCCTTCCCAGGACTGTTTGCATTTCGCCATGTATGCTGGGGTTCAGGGCCAACTGGAGCCCCCAGGCTGTATTTTTCGCATTTGATTTAGCCGAATGTACAAGGATGGCTTCAGTTAGATTTTTGTCATGTCAGCACGGGGATATCCTTGAATAATGCTGGTACTTTATGTTGGCATTCACTGGATAACTTGCTCAAAAGAGTGCTTCCCATGTACTGTACCATTCCTCTTCCTGCACAGCTTGCAGTATCTGATGTTTAAAAAATCTGTTGTGATCTTCTCCCTATTAAGGAACTTCCTTTATAGGGTGGCTTTGAAAAATGGATTGCCCCGTTCTCTGGTACTCGTGTTTCACGTGTGCCTGCCAAACAAGGTGGGTGTATTTGTGCCGATGGCCTGTGGCGAGGTTGGACGGACGGGTCGGGCCTCCACATCCCCGGAACAAGCAGCGGGTGCTGTTAAAGCTGTTTGCATTGCTAGCTTGTTAGGAGGTGACTCGCAGTCGAAACCCACTATCCTGGGTGCTGGCGTGAGGGGGTGGGGTGGGGTTGCCCTTCACAGGACCCTCCTGTGCATTGGGGACTCAGACTCAAAGGTCTGTCCATCCGTGGCAACTTGCCTCTGGGGGAGGATTGTCATTGCTGGGGTGGAGCAGCTCATCCCAAAACGGAATGTCTCCCTCTTGGAATCCAGTCAAGCATCAGGCGAACCAGTGCCCTACAACTGTGTGACGTCGTCCTACCCAGACCTCTAAATGCAGAAGGAATATGTGGAATGGGAAAGAGGAGAGAGTAAACTTATCGAGGCGGTGGCCTTTTTTAGCTTCTGATTTGTCAGGCAAGAATTCTGTGCCTTTGGAGTTGAAGTTGTCCCCCTTGCCTCACTCTCCAGGAGGGTGGGGGCTTTGCTTGGCTTTGCTAAATCATTTGGGAACCTGCTAGTGAGGAACTCGAGCTGATTGGCTTAATGACGCTACAAGGCAGACGGACACGGGATGTGATCTGGCTCTACAGCAGAAGAGAAATGCTGCTGCTGGCGAGTGAGGAAAGGGGAAGGCAAGGAAATAATGTTTCTCCTGGAAATTGATGCGTGACAGCTGCTGCTGTACTCACCTAAGTAGTTTTATGCAAGTTTGCTATATTTAATTACATTTCAAGTGCCTTAACATCCTTAGTCTATTTTTTGGTATTGATGCAACAAATATTTTTAAAAAGGCATTTTTCTATTGTAGCATGGATATTGAAATAACTACTGTGGATTTTGAACAGTTTTCAATAAATACTTTAGAAGCTGGACTTGCTATTGTAATTTAAACTTGGCCACAGGTAGGAAACTGGATTCATGGGGCAAAGTCCAGATAGTTTCTCCCAAGCCCCAAATAATTGGGAAGAGCGCATGAAGCTACATTCACTGGGCAGATTCCAAGGTGCTTCTGATCAAGAGGAGCTGAAGGTAGCATAGCCATCCTGAGGCACAGACCGACCACCCTGTGCTGGATGGGGATCTGTTCTTTGCTCACACCTTGTGTGCAAACACAACCTTTGGTATGCAGCGCTGGACTCTGCGCTCTGAATATCTTGAGCTTGGATTTCATCTAACCTCGTGTACAGTGGAGGCCTGGGTCCCCACATTATAATCCCGGAATGGATCCTGTTTCAGGCATTCCTTCCAGTTGGCTGCTCCAGGCCTATGTGGCGAGTGCAGTATGACCAATGACTTAAGCCAGCTGTGATTCCCAAGGAACTGGTGGTCCGGCACATCTGGAAGGGACTAGGTTGCAGGCAGCTAGCACAGAGCATGTGGCTTCTGGATCGTCGATACAATCCTCAAACTTGGCCTATGAAGGAGTCTGGTAACTCCCGAACAGGTCCAGCCTCTGATCTTTAACCCTCTCCTACGGATCTCTAGGATATATTTTTGAATGACCCCTGCCCCCCACCCCCGAATTTAACAAAACAAGCTCTCTGCACATAGCAAGCTAGCATTTCAGAGAGAAAGTTATAGACTGATTTCCTAGTCTATGACAGGCAGAGAGATGTGTGCCTATTTTTTAAAAGCAAATTGAAAACTTAACAGTTCTGAAAACTGCCCAGACAACTTGGGCTATTGTGGGTATATTAAATAAATAAATGATTCCCCACCACACCAGCCGAAAGGATATGCTTCGGAGATTTTCCTATTCAATCTGCCCGAGCCCCTTACTTAGCAATAACTCACTGCAGGATCCACTGCCTCTGAGCAAATGCACAGAAAGGGCCTGGAAGTACTTGTACTGTCGCCTTGTGCAAAATGGAAGGATGCCCCCCTCTCGCGGGCCGTGCAGCTCGCTGTCCCAGAGGCAGAGCGGACCCTCGCTCAACGGCCCAAGGGCAGCCTTGTGCAAACAATTTCTGGAATGCACAGGGGCTTCGCTCGCTCTCCTGGCGGGAGAAGGGGGGTTGGGCCGCAGAGGCCCCTCTGAGCAGCAACTCTTCCCACCGCCATCTCCCGGGCAGCCTTGCAGGACACGAGCCCTGCAGGATCAGGCCAGGTCCGTTCACACAGCGGGCCAGGAGCGCAGCAGCATCGTAACACTTGCGCTCCTCCATGCATTGCCAGATCTCCCTCTGAAGCACCCGGTGGGTGGCCATCGCTGCCCCTCCTGGAAGCTACTTCCACAGGGTGCCTATGCGCTCCGTGAAGAAGCCCTTCAGTGTCCCCCACCTGAAGGCAGGCCTCAACCTCTCGTTGCCAGTGGAAGGCTGCATGGCAGGTCCATGCCGCTCTGCGAATCTGGGGGGCCGAGGTCACGGCAGAGCTGCAGGACTCTGCCTGCAACGTCCAGGCCACGCTTTCCAGTCGCGCGTCCTGCCAGTTCGCCAGATTCGCTCTTATGTCGTCATGCTGCTGCATTTGGGTGACCGAGGCCGGCGCGGCCAGCCGCATTTGGGAGACGCGTGTGCCGCTGGGGGGCTCCTAGGCCTCCTGCCCCGAGGCAACGCGCCCGCCCCGCCACAGGCCCAGCTCCCGCGCGATGACGTCATGAGCGGGTGTGCGTGATGTCAGGCCTCGACGGCGCCCCCAGCGCCCAATGGGACGCGGCCTCGGACGGGGGATGACGCAAACGACCCTAGCAACAGCCCGGGCCGGGCCGAGCCAATGGAAAAAAAGCAGCCGGCCCCCGGGAGCCAATAGGGCTGCGCGGAGCGGGCGAAAGCGGGCGGCAGGAGGCGGACCCCTCGCTCATCCTCTCGCCGACAAGATGGCGGCGGCGGCGCTGCGGATGGCGGCGCGAGCGGCTTTGTTTCCCTCCCGCGCCTGAAGCCGGCTCCCGCCGGCCGGCCGCGGGGGCAGCGGCGGAGACATGACCGCGGAGCCCGCGAGGTAGGCGGCGCGG